TTTTTTTTTTTTTTTTTTTTTTTTTTTTGCATGCGAGGGTCATGAGTTCCTACTTTGTAAATCCTCTCTTTTCCAAGTACAAAGGCGGCGAATCGCTGGAACCAACTTACTACGACTGCAGATTTCCACAAAGTGTTAGCAGGAGCCATGCTCTCGTTTACGGTCCGGGCACCACAGCTCCCACCTTCCAGCACCCATCACATCACGTTCAAGAGTTTTTTCATCACGGAACCTCCAGCATCTCCAACTCTGGATACCAGCAAAACCCGTGCGCCTTGGCGTGTCACGGAGACGCTTCTAAATTCTATGGATATGAAGCTCTGCCGAGGCAATCGCTTTATGGTGCTCAGCAAGAGACGACTGTTGTACAATATCCTGACTGTAAATCGTCTTCCAACAGTAACTCTAGCGAGGGACAAGGGCATTTAAATCAAAATTCGTCTCCCAGTCTCATGTTCCCATGGATGAGACCTCACGGTTAGGACCTTTTTTTCCTCCTCCTTAAATGTTTTCCTTGCTTTTATTCCTCTCTTTCTCTCCCCCTCTCCCTCCCTCCCCTCTCCCTCCGTCTGTCTGTCTGTATATATATGTATGCATCGCCAGCCACAAACATGTGTCTATGGCATCTCCACATATATATACGTCGATAGAAATAAATAGAAGAGGTAAAAATAGCGAAGGGATGGGCAGTTCTGTGCTTAACGTTGCTTCTTTTTAGGAAGACCTTTAGAAAGCAAACGAGGCAGCAGTTGCTGGAAAGCCAGCAAGGTGATTCCCTGCAAAAGGTTTAAATCACCATCGAGTAAAAACTTGGGGTTCTTTTCTTTTATTGCTTTGCCTTGAGGATAGGCAATAAGATACAGCTCCCACGAGGTTATTTGCATGTTGATAATGCACTGCTCTTTAAAATGTCATATCGCCTTTCATAACCGCTTGGAGACGAAGCCTGAGAGGTGGGAACTTGTATGAGTATCGCTAATACTTTACATCTGTTTCTTAAAGCCCGGGGATAAAAGTTTTAAGCAGGAAGGGAAACTTAGCTCAGGGCTACGGGGTGGGGTGGAGGAGAGCATCGTAACGTCCTGGGTTAAAAAAGAATTAAAGAAGGGGGGTTGGGGGGGGGCGTGGGGGCGTGGGGGGGAGAGTTGGGGGGGGTGGGGGGTTCCAAATAATTTGGGCTGAATGGAAGTTCGCTCATGTGAAGCCCGGATAATTGCACAGAGAGCGAAATACTTCAAAGTGCAAGTTTTCCCCCACCGAAGGGACCAAGGCTGTCTCGAAGCCTGCTTTAATTCAAACCATGTGAAGGTTAGTGTTAATTTTTAAGGACAATTCAGAGCGCCGAAGTTTTTTCCCCCCCCTTAACCCCCAAACCCTTAGAAAAAAAAAAATAATAATAATAATAAGTGTATGCTTGTATTTCTTTAAAGGAAAGAATTAGAGAGGAACTCCGAGAGGATGTGGCCCAGAGAGGCTGGGGAGGAAAACATGTTATTTATCTGAGCTTTGACCTAGGGGTAGTCTCAAGGATGCAATCATTTCCAGCCGTAGCATCGCTATATTTTTTAGCAAACGTTGTTGGTTTGTTTTTTTTTTTTTTCTGCTGAAGGAAAGGCTGTGCGAAAGGAAATGCTGGGGCTCAGCTGCACGAACCTCCGTCCTCCTCCTTTCTTTTTGGCTCTTGGTTGCAAACGAGTTGTTTTAAAGGCAATCTCGGTGTTTGCACAGGGATATCTGTCTGTCGGTGCGAGCCTGATGGACGCACGAGTAACCAAGAGGACGGGGAGAGGGGATTTATCTCAAAGCCCAAAGCTCGGGGGGGGTCCATAGGAGAGACCAGCAGCACCCCGAGCCTCTGCTACGGGAGCAGCATTGGGGAAAGGAAAGCAGGGCTGGGAATTTGGGGGATAAAATAGGGAAAGAGGGGAAGAAAGGAAAGCAAAAGAAAGGCAGGAGAAGGAGCGAGGTTGGGAGGGTTTTCGGGAAGAACAAAGCATCTTTCATAGGAAAAAAAAAATCTTATTAATAATAATAATAATAATAATAATTATAATTATTATTGTTTGAAATCGAGCTGCCCAGCACGCCTCGCCCCTCAGAACAGAAATCACAAATCACCTTTTGGGGAAAACGGGAAACGTCTCTTTTGTCAATGAGTTTGACAGCCCCATCCTTACCCAGCAGAGCAAAATTCCCCCCACACCCCAAACAGGAGGAGGCACAGCCCCATCCAT